AAATTATTTTAAGGAAATTCTTATGTTGATTTGAGGCCTGCAGAAGAGCAAGAACCAAAACTTTGTATCTCCCTCCACATTGTCATTAACTGATCAACAAAATAATTCAAAATTGGCAGTAAACACAAACTATACATTATAAATTTTTAAACGTTGTGTAGTGGTGCTGTAAGCAAATTGGTACATATTAAGCACTCTAGTGAGATGATTCTTTTCTTTAGAAATTTTGAAAATCACCCAACATTTTATAATGAAGCCTAATGTTGGCTTGTTTTTAATAAAAAAAAATCTGTATGTACACAACACACATAGAAAATTGCTGAAAAAAAGTTTGAATATCCATAATGAAACACATTATTCTCAAATCTGGTCACCTTTATCATATTAACATTTCCTAACACAGAAATGTGTATGTATAAATGCCATTTTGAACAGAAATACGTTATTGTATATAGAAATTCAAAATGTTGACATTTCTCCCATTTATTCACATACATAGATTTGAAGAGAAGACAATTTGCTTCTTTTATATACTTATATTTTTGTTACTTTTTTAAAAAGAGAGAAAGAACGAGAACTATTTTTACTATTCATAAAATAAGCCAGTCATGATGATGCCTTTAATTCATACAGCACACTGAATCTTAATTATACAAGGTGGGTTCTCCTGGGTGGGCTGGGGCTTTTTTTTTTTTTTTGTAAACAACTCCCTCCCCCCCAAAAAAATTCGGCGCCTGCCTTGCTGTGCCGGAAGTGGTACATAAGGCAACCCTTCTTGCCCCACATTGGCTCAGCCTCTGCTGTGAATAGAGAGCCCCGTTTTTCCTTTCCTGCACATTCCCTCCAATTCTCGCCTTCCCATCTCGGATGGAGGGCAGAGTTCCTCTCCTCCAAGGCTGAGCCTGAGCGTTGCCGAAAGCAGAGCCTGCACAGCGGAGAAACAGCCGCTTTTGAGGCAGAAATCTTGGGAAAATCCCACTCGAAGAGTCCCGCGGGATGAGCGAGGGAGGCGGGGCAGCCAGTGCGTGGGTGGGTGGAATGGCTGGTGCGGATAGGATGGGCGGGCTGGCTGGCTACGCAGGCGAGCTGGGGGAAACAGGGCGGGCAGTGACGGGGGTGGGGGAAAAGGAACAGTTTGGCGCCTCCAGGTGGTGGCTGCGTTAGGTGCGTACAGCGGTTCAGATGAGGTGGGGAGCCTAAATGAACTCTTCATCACAGAAACAAAAATTTCCATTTATTCATTTATTTTTAATCTCCTCTCCTGCCTTTTCCTTACAATTTCTTACCCTGTTCTATACTTTTATAATATTACTCATCGGATTGAAACTAGCATGACATGTATCTATTTATTCCGGATTATTGCATTACTATGGCTAAATGGTTCTTCAGCATATTTTCCTATTCTAAAATAGTATATGTCTTAATTTTAACTTTTACAGTCAATCATATGAAGAGGGTTAATAAAAGTGAAGAATTTGATTTCTAAGCTTCAACTTCATGGATTTTTCAAGAGGTAAATTGCTGCATCAAGAGGTATTTGTCCTAAGTTTAAGATAAAAGAGAATGGAATCAGGGACCTCATGTTCAATACATGGAGGGGAAATGTTTTGTACTAGAAAACAAGTACAGGATATAAAGCTATAAAAACTATGCTCTACTTTATGTTGAGGCTCATAATAATCCAAGTAGTTCTTGATGTATGACTGTAATTGACTCCAAATTACAGTGGTAAAATCATGGCATTGGTTAAGTGGGTCACAGCCCCTTCTCGAATTTACGAATATGCAAAATGGCTTACAAGACTGAAAAAATTTTGTGGACCCCATCTATTCATTCAATCAATTTGTATAGCCACCCATCAATCAATTGTTTGTATGTATCATGTTTGTATGTATCAAATTTGGGAGACAGAACTGCACTCCTGCATCTGAACAGACTAAGGAATTGATATGCAAGCTGAAAAGCCATGTAAAGCAATATAGAGCTTCCTTTGTCAGCTGAGGTGCACTTGTGAGTCTGGTAAGTTGTATTTGCACCTACTGTAGTTTATATATAAGCAGGAGCAAGCATTTATTAATAGCAGAAACCATAAACTTTTCACACAAGATTTTGGAATCTAATCACATTCAAAATTAACAAATTCTGCATATAGATCCACTTGGGGTTTACTGGAATTTCTTTGTGGCATACATTATAAATAGCACTTAACTCCTGAATACAATTAGCCGTTTTTCTTAGGATTAAAACCCCTGATGGACCACAGACCTCCTTGCAGCTGCTCTTCAAGAGATTTAAAGAAACCCCCAGTGGTTGGATCATGGCGTCATCCAGCACTCAGTCCCAGATTGATCCATCAAGCATGGCCATGCACAGATCATATTCTAATTCAGATCATCCCACAAATAACAATTTATAATATAAATTACATGTGCCATTAGGGATTGAAAGAGTATTGCATGCAAAATATGTATTTCTTAAAATATTCTACTGTACACTTACTGTTAAGAGCAAGCACACAAAATAATATTCCTTTACTTGCCATGAAACTAAAAATGTACCAGAATAAGGGTGTATTTAAATATGTAAGCTACTATATGCATTTTAGATCAATATATAGGCATATTATGTTCCCACTCCCACTTTGCTGGTGGTTTTTCTCTGCAAAAGCTGAATAAGGATAGATTCTTCATAAATCCCCATCGTTTTGTTCCATATTGAATCTTTGTGGAAAGACCTGCAAGGTAAAAGTTTTTTTCCTCCCAATGTTTAAATGAAGAGCTTAAATAGGTTTTTATTTCAAAAAGTCTGTGAGTGCAGATGAGATTCATTCACCAGAAGAATCTAGATTTCACATACTATTCAAAGATGGTGATGGGGACAGGTTGGGGAGAGGAATAAGCTAGGACTTTTATGTTTTTCATGGCAGTAAAAAGATTCAAATCTTTCTCTTACAAGAGAAGACAGCAAGAACAGAAAGGTGAGGATAGGGAGAAGAAGAGAAGGTGAAAAAACAGACAGTATAGCATTAGTTCAGGCACAATGCTGTATAGCAACAAAAGAGAATAGACCAGGCATGTCATACTGCTGGCCTGTGTATCAGATGCGTTATGCCAAAACCGTGCCCACCCCATTGCTGGCAATGGGGAAAAAATCCCGATATGTCGCACAACATCATGTGACATCGCAAGTTTGACATGCCTGGACTAGACAATGTAATCAAGCCTATGATTGACATAAAGGCAATCTATTCTCTGCCCAATAAGATTGTGTGACATATTTCAATGGTTGGCCAATGTCTTCTTTCAGATTTATTTTGAGAAAAAGAAAAGGAGGCATTTCTGGGAAATTACACTTCCAAGGCTTTTCTTCAGATCAACTTTTGCTCTTAATCCTCTAGTTCTAAATAGATTTTTTAAATCAATATTAATCTTATGTGTAATCCATATAATCCTTATAAGAAACTATGATCTCTCAAAGCTGTGATCTGAAAGGAACTATTAAAACTTTATTTGAATTCTAAATATAAATAAATTTCTGGAAATGTTGCTACTTGGAAATAATCATAGCACAAGTCAAGAAAAACTGCTTGGTTATACATTAATGAAAAGGGTTCATTTTTATCTGCTCTGCCTCTGCAGCTAGCAGCACATAATAGATTGTTTTCTGTAAAGTTAAATCAGGCTCATAAGATAGGAGATAAAAATAAATTTGCTGGAGATTCTATTTATTTCTTTGTTCATTTATGGGGAGGGAGGATGTCTTTGTTGAAGTCAGTGTAAGAGAAAAATAGCAGATTTCCAAAGGCTGCACAGTTTGCCAGATTGAATGCATTTTAAAAGTATGTTATTTCTAACTCTATCTACATGATAGTTTAATAAATAGTACTGCAAAGAGTAATCCTGGAACTTGTTTTGCATTAAGAGAACATGATGGAGTCCATATGTTAAGAGATCAATGTCCTGGGATTAGGTTTTACAAAAAGCTGATCATCTTTGCTTACTTGCTTGGCTATCTTTCCAGAAGTTAAACTCACTAAAAATCAATATATATAACCTTTCATTTATATAGAACAAAATGTTTCAGATTTGAACATAACAGGCTATATCTATATAACAAGAAGTAGTTGCACATGCTGCCTCTGGCCTTCACCAAACACATCAACTCTGTGGATAGATACATTAAGTTCACACAAGAAGATATTAAGGAAAACAGTCTGGCTTTCCTGGACTGTGCAGTGCATATTAAAAAAGATAAAATCTTAACACTGAAGTTTGCAGGAAACCCACAGAGATCAGTATTTATATTTTGATTCTCATTACCCATTGGAATACAAAATGGGAGTGATCAGAACCTTACATGACAGGGCTGAAAGTAAAGAGGGAAAGGAAAAAGAACTAAAACATATCAAGGAATCTGTAAGAACTTGTGATTATCCTAACTGGGTCTTCATAAAATAAAATAAAATAAAATAAAATAAAATAAAATAAAATAAAATAAAAGACCCAGGATAAGCTCCTCCATTACAGACAAAGACGAGAATATAGCAACATTGTCACTGCATATGTTGCAGGAATATCTGAAAAGCTCAGGAGGATTTTCAACCAACACAAATACATACACACTTTAAACCAAAGGATACACTAAGTCAGAAGCTTGTCCACCTCAAGGATAAAACCCAGACACAAACTGAGCAATGTGATATATGCAATAAAATGCAGTGAAACGTATGGAGATCTGCACATTGGTGAAACAAAACCACTACTTCACAAGCGCATGGCACAAATAGGAGATCAAACCCAGATAAACAGATAAAGAAGACAAATTCCCAGGTGGCCTCAACAGCTCTCGGAGAGGGTGTTAACGACCAGTTACTGCAAAGAAATACAATCCTTCCATTCCCCCCCATCCAGCCTCAACTGTCAGTATCCCTTCCATTCCCCCCCCCCACATCCAGTCTCAACTGTCAGTATTTATTCTTCCATCCCCCCCCCCCATCCAGTCTCAACTGTCAGAACCTATCCTTCCATTCCCCCCAGTGTCACAGTTGATGACGCTTCTTGGATGAGAAGCGAAATGTCTTCTTCTTCTTCAAGGAAAAAGCACCTTGAGACAATTATGATGTGGATGACTGAGAATCCCCACATTTAGCCATACACTTTGCGATGAATGCCCTTCTTGAATGGTGCAGGAATATGAACGGATTTGCACTTCAATTTGAGATACAGATAACACAGACTCCAGCCTGCGCTTGTGTTCAACAGTGATAGGATACAGGACAGAAAACCTCCTACAGAAAGCACAGCTCCAACTTCTCAATGAAAGAATGACAGATTAATTTTACAATTGAGGTTTTGAAAGAGAGAGTAGAACACAAACTTCAAGAGCTGAAATAACTTATTCCAACAGAAATATTGGCGGAGGTCACAGAAGGCACAACTAGCACAACATTACAAGGGCAAAGAAAGAGAGAAAAGCAAATGTTCTACCCTACAGTTAGACAAGAAAAAGCACACAAAACAGAAGAATCAATCCAGATGAGGACAGTGACATGTCTTAGAGAACTGACTGATGGGTGAGAATGTTTTATCTAAAGGACTGAATTTTGCAGTAACACCAGAACAGCTACCAAATGCAGATCTCCTCACAGCCAGAGTCAGCCATCAAGAATACTAAACTGACAGAACTAGAGGCGGAACAGTTAAGGATGAAGGTATCAGCAACGCTTGCCAATGCCAAAACACTGCCCTCCAATGTGACAATTCAAGAAAGGAAAGCGTGGCATCCCTAGGAAGAGACCCAAAGTCACCATTTTGGCAGCTGATAAATGAAGATACACGGTTATCCTGAACACAGATGACTACAGTATCAAGATGGACCCTTTTCTGAAGGACACTGCTACATATAAGACTCTGAAGAGAGAATTATAAGAAAAAAGTCATCAATTTCCTGCAAAACAACTACTGAAGGACAATGCCGTTTACCCTAGGGAAGCCACTCCATGCATATATGGACTCCCCAAAATCCATAAAGACAGAACTCAGGCCAATTGTCAGCAGCATCAACTCTTGTCAACTACAAATTGGGAAATATTTAACCACCTTATTAGCTCTTCTGGTTGTCCACACCACCCATCACTTCAACAGTTCACAGGACTTTGTCAGCAAAGTTTGGAAACTAAAATTGGATCCAGATGAAACTATGGTTTCTTATGATGTGACTTCACTCTTCATCTGCATTCCAACAACTGAAGAAACGTCTGCTACAAGACAGCACATCCCCTCTCCCATAATCCTGTCAGAACCTATCCTTCCATTCTCCCATCTCAACTTATGATCCTTCTTGGATGATAAACGAAACATTTTCTTCTTCCTCTTCAACGAAAAACACTCTGGTTGCCTTTTGGAAAAGCACCTTTGAGACAACTATGACCTGGATAACTGAGAATCTCTACAGGCCTTCTGCCTCTGGCCTGTACACTCTGAGGAAATATGAAACGTACACAGGCAGCCCAGTTTTCAACAGAGGGGCCATGAGAAGTTTGGCCTTGCAGTCATTCTAAGTACTCTCCAAATCCTATTTTGTTTATGAATATCTATCATTCACTGCTGCTGAAAGTTACATTAGAAACATGCTTGAGCAGAAAGGACAGTAAAAATAATGGAGAAAATTTGTAGCTCAGGGTTGAAATGAGAGTTCTTGGTGCTCCCTGAGCTTGGTTGTTTTTTTGCAGACGTTTCATTGCCCAAACTAGGTAACATCATCAGTGCTAGTAAGGAGTGGGATCTCCACAACGATCCATGGTTGGGACTCGTCATTTTCTTGAGCGTGATGCAGAGTCACCTTGCATTTGACATCAAGATACTGTAAAAGCATAAACATTGTGTTGTGAAATTGATTTTATTTTTACTACCAAAGGGTTGTATGATAACTTTTCTACAGAAAAAAGAATCTAATGTCTTAAAAACTGTATCATTTACCTTTTACACACAGTCAGTTTTTTCTTCAGATTGGCTTCTCGCAGAGTCTGAAAAGTGTTAAACAAATATTTTAGAACAAAGTAGAGAATCTTTAATTGAAACATACCTATTTCTCTCCCAGAAACAAAAGGACAAATCTTACTGCCATGGTCAGTCATTTTTCTCCCAGAGAAGGGTAGAAACTGGAGGTGGGAGCAGAAGTTGTCGATCCCCTGCTCCTGAGCCATTATAAGGTCTCTGTTTCTGAGAGTCTCCTTTGAGACCTCCTGTAAAAAGAAATTGAGCAAGTACTAAAGTGGGAAAGAAATAGAATAACATAGAATAAAGAAGAATAAAGTATAATAATAATAATGATGATGAAAAATCACAAAAAGCAAAAATCATGTGTCTGCATAATCTCTGAAAGAAAGCTGTGTTAGCAAAAGCTGTATTAACAGTACGTGAATGACCTAATGCATATTTAGAAACATTGTATAAAAGTAAAAACTGCCTTCATTGTATTCCCATGAGAAATGGAGCTAACGTGTGAGAAACTATCTGAATGTTACACAAAAGTAGATTCCATATACAATGTAAGATTCCATCTATGCCTCCTTTGTTCCTGAGAAAAAGAAACCTATAAAGCTTTAGTTTAGACCCTCCCCCTTGTTCAGAAATTTGCTGATTGTTAAGTCACTTCTGAACCTTTTTGCGCAAAAATAAAATCTCTCTTTCACCTTCGGAATTTCGTGAAAGCCCTTTATTTTTTTAAGGCTTTATTTTTCCACAAGAGTACAGTTAGTACATTATAAAATCTGGCTTACAGAGGTTGTTCTAATTTCTTACTATCATGTAAGATACTTACAGCGATGAGTCGGCTGATTGCCTTCTGCTCCTTTTCCAATTTCTTCTTCAGTATTGCAACCTGCAACTCCTTTCGGTCAGCCTCTCCTGGCAAAAAAAGGAACAAAAAATTAAAACTCGTACAGCCAAGATGAATAAATCGCTTTTGTTTTTAAAATGAAAACAATTAAAATGTTGTTAAGTTAAAATAATACTCACTTTCTGGATCGAGTTTTAGTTTGTTCTCCAGCTCCTTATTCTCCTTTAGAAGCCGGGCCAGTTTGCTGGCTAAGCGCTCGTTCTCTTCTTCTAACTAAGACGCAGAAATTACAGGAAGCATGCATCAATCATCAAATATAAATATATTAAATATAATAAATAGATAAATAAATAATTAGATATATAAATAGGTAAATAGATAAATAGAGAAACAGATAAATATGTATAAACTAATCCAAATAAACAAATGTGATATTAAATAAGATAAATATGTATAAACTAATCCAAATAAACAAATGTGATATTAAATAAGATAAATAAGCAAATAAATACCGAAAAGTAAACAGAAGCTAAGCTATTGAAATGTTGTAAAATGCAACCAAAACCTGACTAAGCCACCAATACTCAACACCCACAAGAGCTTTCATTCAGCCCATCACAAGTTTTATTTACTTCTCCTTTGTGAGCAAATCTACCTGTCAGCACCATCACAAAGGAAAAGCAAAGCAAACTGATGGGCTGAATGGATGCTACTCAGAGTTTTATTTATTTTTGCAATATTTCAATATTTTTCAATATTGGGGAAAATGTAATTACAAAATCCCGTTGATGCATTTGATGGAATTGTAGGATGAAATAACAAGAAAAATACCTTAGAAAAATTAGTGCCACTGAAGAAAGCAGGGAGATTGCTGGAGAAATATGCACAATTTAAGCTGAAAATGTGGTGCAGAGGTGAAAGAGCAGAACTGGAGATATTCTTGCTCTTGATCCACCATACTGTACTTGCCTATCACTCTTGGGGAAAAAAATTCAAGACAAACACAGTATTCAAACTTAATTCAGCAACAGCCCTTTATTTTCTGCCTGAGCTGTCGGTATACATGCTGCAATATCTTGTGTGACCATTATTGCTGGGATTGTTTTCTTACTGTTTTTCCTGTCCACAGTAGAGCCTTTTTGATCAGAATAAATGACAAAAATCTATTACATTTAGAGAGGTTGTGTGTATTGAGTATTTGAACAGAAAACATTCCTACGATAAGCTGAGTCATGATGGGTGTGATTATTCAATCCATACAACACACTAAATCTTAATTACACAGGGTGGGTTTATGCAACAATCTGGACTTGTGTTTATTAACTAGTTTGTGGAACAGAATGTGATACCTATTCGTTGTGGTGAGACACAATAAAAATGCTGCCCAACCCACACCGAATTATGGAAATCTGGATGACCAATGATAGCTATTATTAACTGAATGTAAAAAAACAAAGAAACATACACAAAATTATAAAAGGGAGGGAAGAGTAAAATAGAAGAAACATACAAGATGTGTATTTTCAGACAATAAATTGATGCCATAATTCATTGCAGACATCCATAGCTGACCTATAGTAAACAAATTTTTTGGGAGTCATGTTTGTCTTTGTGGTGCTGAACAGTACATCTTTTGATTCTAAGTCCATTTTCTTTGTCCAAAAGTAAAAAAGAAAGTGTTAATTTCACTGCATTTTCAATTAACCTTTTGAACTCTCAAGCGTCATCCTTCCGTTATATATTCAAGATGGGCAGTATTTAATATTTATTTGTTATGTATATGTAGGGGTGTGGGTTTATACATATGTTGTACATAGTATGTTTAGGTGTGTCATGTATGTTTCACTTTGAGAGCGGGCAACTAAATTTCATTTTTGAGGTGTGCCATTGTGCCCACAGTAAAAAAGTGACAATAAAGGTTATCTTATCATTTGAAAACATTATGCTTGTTTGTGCCTCACTATGATGCGGTGACAGTCTGCCATGAGGAGGGGGAATGAAGGGAAGGGGTTGTTTAGGAGAAAACAAAAGTAGAAGCCACCTCAAGACCTCACTCAAAGGTCACCCAGCTGGGAGAATGAGGAGCCACAAACCAACCAGTTCAAAATGACCCTTATGGAAACATCTTGCAGTAACTTAGATTGATGGGCAGCAAGAGGCAGACAGAGGGGAAAAGTAGAACTTAGTGATTTTGGTGTGCGAATCTCAGTTTTGGCTTTGCATTATTGCTTTACACTTGATCTCTAATAAAATTATACCTTTCTCAACAAATGGAGACAAGGATTGTTTTTACTTAGCAATTTTTTAAGCTAGGACAGGTCTGACAGGATTCAAGAGCTGAGTGTGGTGCAATGGTTTGAGCACCCATTACTTGCCCCTGCTTCTACCAACCTAGCAGTTTGAAAGCATGCAAATGTGAGTAGATAAATAGGTACCACTTTGGTGGGAAAGTAACATGCACTTGTCGTATAGTCATGCTAGCCACAGAAGAGTCTTCTGACAACATTGGCTCCCTCAGTTAGGAAACGGAGATCACTTATCTAGCATGGGCAAATGAAATGTTTGCAAGAAAACAACCAAGCTCAGAGAGCACCAAGTACCCTGAGTTACAAGCATTCTCCTTTATTCAAAAGTCTTTTGATTTTAAGTCCATTTTCTTGGTCCAAAAGTCAAAACAAAACAAAACACTTCATCCCCAATAACAAATGAAATAAGGTCATTTCAAAACATCATTTGCTGTAATCTTTATTACCGGTTAAGACCTGTAAGCAAAGCAAAAAATATATATGCAAGTAACATATTTAAAGAATTTCTTTAAAAAATTGAAAACAAACAAAAGGAATTTTAAAACATAATAAAAAGGGCATTCTAGAAGCAATTCTCCCGTGAGAAACCTTGAAACCTCCAACTTGGAGAGTCCAGCAGGCAAAACGGGGAGGCGGCGGCCGCAGCCCCCAGACCCGAGCGGATCCTCCGGCCCATCGCATACCACCCTGAGCGGCTACTCGACGCCGCCTAGAGTCGAAGACCAAGGTCGAAAGAGGTGCCCTCAGCTCCTCCCGCTTTGCCCTGAACAAGACGGAGGCTCTGCGTCGCTCCGGGGTTCAAACTCCCAGCGGCGCATTTGCCCCCTTCGCGTTTTCGCCTGGAGAACCGGGACTTCCGCTCGGGATCCTGGAAGCGGCGCGGGGCCCAAGGAAGGCGCTATAAACCGGCTGCAGCACAGCCGGGGCGGTTCCCCGGAAGAGAACCGGGCGGCGCTTTGCTGTCTCTCCCTTCCACACACCCTCCCTTTCCCCCCCCCCAATTGAGGCTGAGAAAGAAGCGCTTTTTTTTCTACCGGGCCGCTGTAGAGGGAGAAGCTGGACCAAGATGGCCGCCCTGGCGTTGGGCCGGACCCGGGAGTGAGAGTAGGAGCAGCGGCAGCTGCGACTCCAGTCGCCGGCCTTGAATTTGCTGCCAGTGAGTGAGGCGGCGGGGATGGGCCAAAGCAGCCCGCGGGACTTCTGAAGGCCTCTATCTTGCCTTGCGCAGATAGGAGAAGGAACGGCGAAGGCGGCCTCTTCCGCTTCTCTTTAAAGGGCCTTGAGAATGAGATTGGGAGGTGGAGTTCCCCGGGAATTCAGGCGACCGTCTGAACTCCGTTCGCGCTTTCTGGGGGTTCCCCAGTTCGTCCCGAAGCTCGCAGTGGCCTGCGAGCTTTGGCGGTTCTGGGTGGGATAGGGCTCGCCTCGGGAAGATGCCGGTGAAATGCATGAAGAATTTCGGTTGGCGTTATTAGCCGGGCTTAATTCCCAGAGCTCCCAAAACGTTGACCGTGTTGCTACCCAGTACAGGTAGTCCTCGACTTACAACGGTTCGTTTAGTGACCGTTCATAGTTACAGCGGCGCTAAAAAAGTGACTTCTGACCGTTTTTCACATTTACCACCGTTGCAGCATTTTGATCACGGTGATCAAAATTGGGACACTTGGCAACTCACTTGTATTTATGAGGGTTGCAGTGTCCTGGGGTCATGTGACCTTCCGACAAGCAAAGTCAGTGGGGAAGCCAGATTCATTTAACAACCCTGCTATTAACAACTGTAATGGTTCACTTAATAACTCTGGTAAGAAAGGTTATAACAGGGACAAAACTAACTTAACGAATGCCTCACTTACCAACATAAATTTTAGGCTCAGTTGTGGTTATAAGCTGAGGACTACCTGTACTGGCTGCCAGGGTGCCAAATTTTGTGACTGGAGGGATGCTGCAATAGTTGTATGTCCAAGGACTGGTCCTAAGTCAGTTTTTTCAGTGCCATCCTTGCTATTGTAATGCTGTTGTGGAGCCTTCTAATGAATTTAATGGGTTGTGGGTGGTTTGTTTTTAACTGCCACTTACATCTTTAATACTATGGGAGATGCTGAGAGATGAAATCCTTTTTTTTTTTTTTTACTCCAAGCCCAGTTTTTAATTCCTGAGTTGCCTTCTATCAAGAGGTCAGCATTTTGTATTGAGATTAGTCTAGGATCTGCAAACCAATGCCTTTTTGTTTTTATATATTTTTTAATAATACATTTATATGGTCGCTTATCTCACTGAACATGACTGGGCTGTATACAACTAATGATTTATTGCTTATATCCTACTTTTCTGGAAGTTGTCCAATTAGAAAGAAATAAAATGAATGAATGGGACAGGTAATCTTTTGGGGGACATTAGATATTTAATCATATAGTGTTTTGAAGGGACGTTGGAGGACCTCTTACTTGGAGCTAATAACAATAATTAACAATAATTATGACATAATTATGTCAAGGGAAAATATTGTTATGCTGTTTTTAAAATCTCTCTTCTCACCAAACACATCACATTTGCTGTAAGATTATTCACATAGCCAGACTATCACAAGATCAGCAGTGTTTATTGAATTTGCATACAGCATCGTTCTTTTTTGCTCTTAAATACAGTACTATACTCTTCATAGGCACATATAAAAATTGAAGATGAAGTAAGTTGGGTTTTGCTAGCCATAAAATCGTGAAGGTGGAGCCTTTACAAAAGTTAAAAATTCTTATTTATTTTCTCATTAACATTTTCTGGAAACAACGTTTTTGAGTTGATAAATTTCATCTTATTTACACCAGCACATTCAGAATCCCATCCATGTAAAAGTAATTGTAAATATTTAAAAACAGAGGGAGAAGTGAATGTTGCTGCACTTGGCCAGTCTTGCACATAGAAATGCAGAGGTGGATGATGTGCTTGAATCCCAGCTAGCAAAACCCATTTTGCCTTCGTTCATTTCTTCCGTCAGGAGAAAAATATTCTGAGGAAGTAGAGAAACCGCTTTCCTTGTTTTGTCCTAAGCAGAGCAATTTTTTTTCTATAGGGCAAAGTGAGGTGTCTGGGTTGTCACTTTTTTCCTGGAGGGACCTGGAGCAGATAGCTAATAACACTGTGAGACTTCATCTTACATTAAACAATCTCAACCACCTCATGCTTTCTGTCAAGAGGGAATGTGCGGAGTACCTGAATCAAGACTGCCCTTGTAGCCATCCCTAGTAGAATACCCATCAAGAGTTTGTCCCATGCATTTCCCCCTCTGAAGAAGCAATGAGTGCCTGAGACACAGTCCTATTTCAGGAGTTCAAGCCACTCATAAGTTCACTTCTCAACTCAGAGAAATGAAAGAAGAACAGAGCCAAAGGGTAGAGGAGTCAAGATGAGGAATGGAATTCAAGTTAGGATCATATGAGTGGAATTTCCTCCTCCATGAACATGAGTTGAATCGTGCAGGAGTACTCCTATGCTATTCTTTACCCAGAGTAGGAAAGGAAACATGCACAGTATTTGAAAAAAATGCAGAATGAGCCAGTAAGGACAGTAGTGACCATTCCTGCCCATACTATAATATGGTAATATTGGATCAGGAATGTCAGTAAGCAACAGCTCTTTTTAGCACAGCACAAGTTTGAGTTTGCCAGTAATTGAAAGTATTTTATATATATGCCTCCATATGAATTTGGAGTTTTTTTAATCTGAAAGATAATGTATCTGGTTTAAGGAATGAACTTTTTAAAGGCAATGAAAATACGTTTCATTGTTGAACTGGTGCCTGTTAGATAGGGTGATTAGCTCAAAAGCTCTGGATGACAAATGTGAGAAGTTTTCCATGTTATACAACCCTGCTGCAATGGGTTAATCTGTACTTTTTATTTAAACCTATGCAGAATCAATGAAAGGCAGAAAGCCCCGTTATGATGGATCTCTGGTTCAGCTGACCAGAAGATTCATGGATCTTGTCAAAGCTGCTCCACATGGAGTCCTTGATTTGAATGAAGTATCTCGTTTGCTAGGAGTACGGAAACGAAGAGTATATGATATTACCAATGTATTGGATGGAATACATCTCGTTCAGAAAAGATCCAAGAATCATATCCAATGGGTGTAAGTTGACTGTTTTTTTTAACTTTTGTGCTTGAGATCCTAGATATTTAAACATGATGTAGCAAAAACACATTATTTCAAACTGTTAATTATTAAGAATGTGATACAACCTGGAAGGTTTCTTGGACAAAAATTCATTATTTTAAATGAATAGCCTCTGCTGTGGATAGAAGGATAGAAGAGCCGAGGTGGCGCAGCAGTTAGAGTGCAGTACTGCAGGCCGCTTTAGCTGACTGTGTTCAGCAGGTCAGCGGTTCAAATCACACCGGCTCAAGGTTGACTCAGCCTTCCATCCTTCCGAGGTAGGTAAAATGAGGACCCAGATTGTTGGGGGCAATGTAAATATATATATACATTGCTTACTGGTGTACACCGCTTAGAGAGTGCTTGCACTTAAAGCGGTATATAAGTCTCATAAATAAATAAATAAATAAATAAATAAATAAATGGGGTTGACCAAAGATTTCTACAATTATATATGTAAATATTTGAGCTTGGTCTAAGCATCATAATACTGTAATATGAGTGTCAAGCTATTGAGACAGAGACACTTCCTTGCTTCAGCTCTTACCACAATAGAATCTCAAGTAGAAAGAATCTGTAATAATGATGCAGAGCTTCTTATATATAAATATTATTAATGTAGTACTTGTAAAGATCTTGTATTGTAATGTAGACAACAATATATATACAACTTGATCTAATAAAAATGTCAGTTTACATTGCTTAAGTCTGTACAAGAATAGACTATTAGTATGTATCTTAGTGCGATGAAATGTGTAGCTGCCAGTGATACCTGATTTTAGAAGTTCAGACAACCTGTGCCCTGTTGGGTCATTGTTTCAGAGATATTTCATTACCTAATCAGTGAAATGACCAGGGGAAGGCAAAAAGCAGCAGGAGTGGGAATGATTACCGATTTCCTGATGGTTTCCTCATTGAGTTTCCTTTTGGGAAGCTGGCAGGAAGCACGGGACATTCTCCCCTTCCCTTTCTTTCCCTCCCTCCCTCCCTCCCTCCTTTCCTTCTTTCTTTTCTTCCCCTACTTCTCTCCCTCCCTATCATTGTTTCCCTTCCTTCCTTCCTTCCTTCCTTCCTTCCTTCCTTCCTTCCTTCCTTCCTTCCTTCCTTCCTTCCTTCTTCCTTCTCTTCTAGAATTCCTGCTGGTTTCCCCATTTACTTTGTTTCTGAGAATTTTGCAGTGAGAAAGTAGGGAAGCCAGCAGGAAATAGCAAGTCCAAGGCCAACAGACAGATAAGTGGTTGCTACCAGGTGGGGGAGAGAGCGAGAGAATGCACAGGGGTGAGGGTCGGGAATGATAGTAGGGAGGTGTAGGAGTCAGGGAGCTTGTGCAAGGGGAAAGTGCAGGTCAGGAAGGTGACTGGGGGGGTCGCAGGGAGCTGCATGGGTTAGGAGACGAGATTGGGAGGGCAGTTGAGGCCAGGAAGGGTGTGTGGGGTTCATTCCTCATTGTTCCTCCCACCCTTTCCTACTTCTTTTCCCAGAAGGCAGGTATGTAGGTTCTACTCAGTGAGGAAGGGAGCAAGGGATTACGTGAGTGTCTAGGAAGCTGTCACAGAACGTTGAAAATGAGGATTATGTGACCCCAGCAACCCGGCAGCACTGAAACAGCCATAGCTTTCCCAAATACCATTTCCTCAGGAGTAAAGAATCCCGGCGTTCTATAAGTTAGCCCATTTGAGGTATCTTTGTCGACAAAGTTGTGATGTACCATTTTGCCCAGTTCACGATTAGTAGTATATAGATATTTTTTTATGCTCTCATTAAAAATGATTTTGATATTGATAAATGATACAATGCTACCTATACCTTTAAACTTAAACCTTAAAACTTCTATCCTTTTTTAAAAAATTATCTTAAGGGGTTCAGATATTAAGCATATTACTAAACGAACACCAGAGCAACAGAAGTTAAGAGATGAACTCCGTGATTTGACAACAGTGGAAGCAGCAATGGATGAATTAATCAAAGACTGTGCTCATCAGTTGTTTGACTTAACAGACGATAAAGAAAATGCAAAATATCCTTTTTCCTTAATATTGGCAAATATTCTGAGTTGCTGGAATTGAGCAATATTAGCTTTTTGTGTAATTATAATATTTTAATAATCACATTGTATATATTAAAAGTAAGCAATACTTTCTACTACTGCTGTTAAAATTTCTTAACTGTTGCATACATTAGCTTACGTGAACTATCAAGATATCCATAACATTCAGACATTTCAAGAACAGATTATTATTGCAATTAAGGCTCCAGAAGGAACCAGAATGGAAATACCCCCTCCTAAAGAAGTAGGTACTTCCTGACTTGATTTGAAATTGCTGGGATTTGATTGGATGCATAGCTCTACAAAAGAGCTACCTACAAAGATCAACAGTGAAGTTTTCATTTTTATTTTAAATGTCACAGAAGGAGATTTGTCACATATACTGTACTTGTAAAGTAGCATAATGATTGAAAATTTAACTGTAGCTTAGGCTGCCAGTTTCTTCTACATGGAAATGAAATTACGGACATTTTTGGTTTCTCAGTCTAAAATACCTCATTCTAAAGTTTCAGAAGTATCTGAGCTAATTTCATTAGGATCAAACTGTAATGATTTGAAATGAAAATGACTTCGGCCCACTGATCTTAAGCAAAAATCCTTAACGAGAAGCTTATGAAGAGACTGGGAAACACATACATACCCACTGCTAGTTTCAGAGTTCAAAGCAGCATAAGATATTTGGGACTCTTCCTGAGCCGAGGTGACACAGCAGTTAGAGTGCAGTACTGCAGGCCACTTTAGCTGACTGTGTTCAGCAGGTCAGCGGTTCAAATCTCACCGGCTCAAGGTTGACTCAGCCTTCCATCCTTCCGAGGTTGGTAAAATGAGGACCCAGATTGTTGGGGGCAATGTAAATATATATATACATTGCTTACTGGTGTACACCGCTTAGAGAGTGCTTGCACTTAAAGCGGTATATAAGTCTCATAAATAAATAAATAAACAAACAAACAAACAAATAAATAAATAAATAAAGTGCTTACCTGGAAATTCTTGTTACATTTTACATTCTGGGGAATTCAAACACTTTCCTGTGAATATGCTGGCATCCTTTGAGTTTTGAAAACAACAAAAACTGTGCACCCTTCATCTATTAAAACATTTGCTATGCTTCAATTTGTTCCTTAATCTTTAAAACATATTGGTATTTTTCAGGACTGCATAGAAGTACACGTTAGAAGCACAAAAGGCCCCATTGACGTTTACATATGTGAGGTGTCGTTGGATAATCCAGACATTAAAGCTGAAAAGACAGATCAACTTTCATGCGAAAGACAATAGGCTGATTTGCCGGAGGTAAATACCATACTGGAAGACAGAAAGATTAAGGACTTGAAAGCAGAATAAAAGATGGCTCATATTAAACAGTGTAGGAAATGCTAAACAATAGAGTAGGGGAGAAAGTGTTGGTAATTAAAGAGAAGAAAGAAAAAAAGTACTGAACTGAAAAGAGATCAGCAGAGATGTGTGAAAAAAAGTAGGCTGAAGGTAAGGAGTCTAATGTCAAGAAATATTAAGAGTAGGTACAATTCCAAGGCCACATCCAATTCCCCTCTTTTTATTAAAATTAAGATGGGATTCACATTTTGATGGAAGTCTGACAAAAAAGCAAAATGTTTATATTAGCTTATAATTAGAGCATTTTGCTTTTTTCTTGAGAGTGTGTTGGAACTGCATGTTGCAATCTGATAGTATTCTGTCAGGATAAAAAAAAAATCCAAGTTGGAAACAGAGGCTGAGTGAACTTTTCTAGCCATTTATAACCTTATTACAAAAAAATATCACACTATAATTTATATCAGTGGTTCTCAGTCTGTGGTCTGTGGATCCATGGGGAGCTGCAATGCGAACGCTTAAAACAGTGGTTCTCAGCCTTTTACCCCCAACCGGTGGTAAATCGAGGACTACTCAACCGGTCGTAAGTCGAGGACTACTCAACTGGTGCAGCACCGTTTGCAGAATGGGACTTTTGGCGGCCTCAGCAGGGCAGAGACAGCCTGGACAATTCCTATTGGCTTTTGAAAGCCAATAGAATTAGACTCTATTCAAGAGAGTCTATTCTATTGGCTTTCAAAAGCCAATAGAATAAAAGGGAATAGCACAGCTAAGGAAAAGGGAAAAAAAATGGCGGACTGCGTTGTTTGGCGACCCCCGTGAAATGGTCGTTCAACCCCAAATGGGGTCCCAACCCACAGGTTGAGAACCACTGGCTTAAAAGAAATGTTATGATTTGAATCTTGAGTTAAGTCTTGGGCGGAAGGTCCGTGGTCATGATCTGTGGCTACAAAAGGTAATTAAAGGAGGTCCATGGTGAAGAAAACATTGATAACCACTGATTTCAGTGGCACCATTGAGTTGTTAATAGGTCTCCCCAAGGTCCATTGTTAAGGGAGGGTGGGAAAGTTTGCATTCTTGAACAGGTAGTCCTCAACTTATAATAGTGGTATTTATCTGAAATGCAGTCACAGGTCCACAGAGAAGGCAGTCATCAGAACTAGATTGTAAATGTCTTTTGGAGGGTCTATCATAACAGAGCAGTCACAAAATGACTGGTCATAAGTTAAGACTACTTGTTTTGGTATTGAGTTTTGGTGCTTCAAACAGATAAATTTTATGGCCATTAACTCTACAAATGAACTTGCTTTCTCTCATTCCCACCTAAGAAAAGAGTATCTTTATTCTTGAATATTGAATTTGTGGTGATTGCATTAAACGTTTTAATAAAGCTAGTGATTTGTTTGTTTGAAAGCATATGATACAGTTTAATTGTACGTTCATTGCTCATGCACATTATTTTAGTTGCATCTAAAGTAAGAGTTCCCTTATCCCATTTCTAAATATATGTATACAATTTATGAGGCAAACATATTGTGGGTAATAGTAGTTTCCTTCATTTAAAAAAGTGAGAGTATGTTATCAGGAGAAATATCAAAGGAAGTTGAATGCAATGGGAATGAGATACTTAAATAAAACAGAAAGAGAGAATATAAAATGAATGGAGAATGATTGGTTGGTTGATTGATTGATTGATTGAAGATTGTGTACAAAAGCGAATGAGCAAAATTTGTCTGGCCATATAGAGTGAATGAATGTGGATAAACAGGCAGTCATAGAAATTGAATTGATAATAATCACAGAAGAAGGAGAAATATTTTTTTGTTTATTTTTGTTAATCTCCTGCCTTTTTCTTACAACTTTTCACCTTGTTTTGTACTTTCATAACTTTGCTTTCCTACCATGATAGATATATATGCATGTATTGAGATTATTGCATTACTGTGGTTAAATACTTCTCCAGTATATGATCCTATTCTAAAATAATATATGTCTTAATTTTAACTTTTGCAGTGGGTCACACGAAGAATGGAAGAAAAATGAATGATTTGATTTCTAAGCTTCAGATTCAAGGATTTTCCAGGATTTAAATCATTATGGGCGAATGCAGGTGTTCCTTTTAATTTTGTTTTTTAAAAAGAATGAAATCGTGGACACTTCACCCGAGAACCTGCTTCCTGTTTCAGACCTTTCCAATGGCATAAAAGAGAAGAATTAAATGAACATCTTTCCTTTAACCCCCTATATCAGATTCAAGATTTATTTACCCTGGAAAAGTGACAGTTAACGTTAACACACAAATGCAGACACACATACTAAGGAATACAGTTTAAGTAAGTCAGGCTTAAGTTTTACAAAAGTGGCTTAGGTTTGTCTTCTGATACAAGGTTCATAAGTCCACATAGTAGCCGCCATAATTTATTTCATGTAAGTGGCTTTTTTTGCAGCTCAATGAATAATAGCATTTGGATTACTTTTATTGCTCTTTCAAAAGATATCTGTTTGGAATTGAAGAAATGTATTTACAGTTGCTGCACAATAGTTGCTCCAAAGTTGTTTTGAACATGGAATAAAATGTAAAAATCCAAAAGGGGAAATGTTTTGTACAAGAAAACTAGACTACATGAAATAAGGTTTTAAAAAACAAGTCCGTAGAAATTGAAATTGCATGGACCCAGCTTGCATACATCATGTTTAAATGGTCATTAAAAGAGAATTAGAGAGAACTGCACTCCTGAATTTGTACAGCAAATAATAAATGTGTAAATATGATAAGAATCAAATCCTTTTGTCTTCTGTAATTGAAAGTTTTTAAGTCAAAACTTAGCGTTTGTATTTACAGTACATTTATGCTGCAGTCTTACCAGTTAATAGCTTTAAAACTGAACTGAATTACCAACTCAGTTGTGAATGTCCATGCAGCTGCTGAAATCTTGGCTGTCTTGAGTGACAGTCAGGAGAGGCTATTGAATCCAACTCCTGCTTAATGTGGAAATCCAAAGAGATTGTGGGTTTCGACACATCTAGTAAAGGAGAATCTTGTGTGTGTGTGGGGGGGGGGAAATGATTCCACTGTGAACTGTTTTTGCAGGTCAGACATTTGTTTATTTGATCTGGAATGAGTGGGACCATGTTTTGATTTTCCACCTGACATCTTTTCAAGGAGTTGAAGAGTGTTGACATAATTGTAGACATTTTCAAAATTCTTTATGCAGTAATATATTTAATAGTTTATTAAAAATGACACAAAGCTAGTTAATACAGTTTGTTAAAAACGACACAAAAGAAAACCTGTACCACAAAAATAGTTGTTGGGGGCTTTTTTAATAGCAGTATAAATAATTTTATCATGTGGACCCCATCTTCCACGTCCACTTAACTGGCTCTCTCTTCTTGGATTTGACTTTTGGTTCAACACTCGCTAGCAGACTATCAAAGGAAAAATTGTCAGAATAAAATATCTGATATTCCCTTGAATGCTCAAAGTCTCCAATTGGACAGATTTTCTTTTCTGCAAATTGATTTTTACAACTTTTAAGATGGGTATTGAAAAACCAGCTGGGTATCTTTGGGCCACTTGTTCACTCTCAGCCCAGCCCACCTCATAGGTTTGTGGGGAAATGAAGAAGAAGAAGTATGAGATAGATTAGCCACCTTGAGTTACTCATGAAAAAAAATAAAGGAAGAATAAAATTAAACATAAAATCCATGCTGACATCCTGTTCAATGTACCGTTCAATGTATCAATTCATTAGTCTCAGTTCATGACTTTCATAAGAAATTGCACAAGTTTTACGGTGGCAAGGCAAACAGGTTCAGCTTGAAGTGGCTAAATCAGACTACTAGCCTCCTTGATAATGAGAAGCCAAAGATATATAAGGAAGGAATGATAAAAAAAATTGAGCTTGGCACAGCAGCTAGACTGCTTCCATGATGAAGAGAAACTATTGGCATAGTTTCAGTATCTGTATATGACAGAGGGCTCAGTGAATGGCCTGAAGCACCGTTAGAATGCATAGCATGCTAAACGTTCTTAGAATAATTGGAAATCTTGAATTTCTATGTTCAATTGAGGTTAGCAAAAAAAAAAAAATGATGTATCTATTCTGAAATAATTGGTAATGGGATGAAATCTACTGCCTTGCATCCTGACAGTTTGTCGAAAATATTTGCTGATTATACCTATGTCATAATTGTTAGGGATGGCATAGTTCCACTCACTCTGTGTATATGCTATTTGCATTATCCTAATGAGAGGTTAGACAGCTAGTTTAGTATAGAGCTTAAGGCATCATCGAACTAGAAACCAGGAGACTGAGTTCCAGTTGTACCTTAGACTAAAGCGAATTGGGTGATTTTGGGCCAGCCACTCTCTCTCAGCCCTAGGAAGGAGACAACAAATGAAAAACCTTGTGAAGAAAACTGAACACTTGTGCAGGAGACTCAAAATCAGGCAGAAAAAAAAGAGATCCAAGATGATAAATTTGCATTTTAATTTTAATTTCCCACTAGAGGGCAGTGATTACATTCCCTAACAACCTCTCAGGTCCTTATAGGGGACTCACAGAGCTGCTCACTTGCAATCTCAACATGTCAATTGACATCCGTGTCTCACTAAGCTCAGTAGATCCTATTCCCCAGTAGATCCCAACCAACTTGCATTTCCTCACTGTCAAGGGCGGGCTAAGCCCATGTAAATGCTATTTGTAACCCTTATTCAGGCATCATATTGACGCCAAGAAAAACATTTTTCTCATACGAAAAGTAGACAAAATTGTTTCTTAGAAGCATTCTGGACATGAGAGAGTTTTGTTCGTCCCTTATAGAACACAACAATCCAGGAAAAAAAAATGAGCTATTACAGATACTGTTTTTTAAAAAATCCATTTTATAGCTACCTTGAGGAAATATCAAAATAACTTTTCAGGCAAAATATAAATCATTATGCATATACAATCATACGTGTAAGTAATATGATTCACAATAAATTTACCACTTATCTTTGTCCAACTGGAAGAATTCACACATGATGTTAAGCCAAAATTGCTCCTAACTTCAATTCCAATTTCACATTCTGGCTCCTGCATTCTGAAAGGGCGCTGTTGCTTTCTGCCTAGTGGTTCTTGTACGGCAATGCTATAAGACAGTGAACTACTCAGTCCCTTACCAGGTTAATACACCAACTGAATCAAGATCCTAGCTTTTGTCTTCTTTACTAACTCAAGGGTTGGTGTTATCAGATCCAGTTACAGGAGCAAGCCATTATTCAGATTCAGATGTAAGATTTAAGTTTTTGTCCTTGTAAATTTCTGGTGAGTGTTTATGTTCATCTATGACTGTAATAAAGATTGGTTTTGATCTGGTTAGTTTTAACTGAATTGAAGTAGTATCTAAGAATGGCAGTTTGGGAGCAGGGTGGCATTCCATGGATGGAAAGAACCTGGGGTATGTTAAGCCTGAGAAAAGTGTAATATAAGTCTCTCTCTCTCTCTCTCTCTCTCTCTCTCTCTCTCTCTCTCTCTCTCTCTCTCTCTCTCTCTCTCACACACACACACACACACACACACACACATCAATTACTGATACCGATATTTTGCAGCAATACACTCTCAGCAAAATCATAAAAAAGAGATCATGAAAAAGAGGTAAACACAATTTGCCAGATGTCCATCCTAGCTAACAGCAATTTGTTTTTGACAACGAGCCAAAGAGAATGATTAGCTTATGAATGATTAGTCTATCAGACTATGTTTACTGGTCTTCACAAATCACAAATTCTTGGTAGTTCTCATGATTTTTTGTTTTGACTACACATCAGTGCAGGATAACAATGATGCATTTGTAGCTAGACTGTTTACAGACATTTGCAGGATGCTGTTTTGGGCTGGAAACTCATCATTTTCCCCAATGTAGTTTTGGAAGAAAAAACAACTCCTGATTATCCATCACTTGTTCTACATCAGGACTTCAGCAAGCCTAAACAATCAGAGGGGAATACCCCTCTGATCAGTGGTATGTTTATCTCTGGCGTAACTGGGAAACATTTCCTGAGGACAAATTTTAAGCAACTTAAAAATTAAAATGTAGGGGAAGACTGAAGAACTTTAGGAGAGACTGTCCCCAATACTTCTCCCTGGCTAATGGCTCATTATATAGCTTTTGCCCTTCGCAAAGTTTTGTTTTATTAGAATAATATTTTGCTGGTTTCCATTTTTCATTCAGTCTGAACATCCAGAATAGGAAGAGTTATTTATAGTCATTGGAAATGAATGAGCAATATGTTCTCAAAATTGTTGCATTGTTTTAATGAATGATACACAATTTACCTTCTAATTTATTAACAGCCATGACATATTTATGAGAATTGAGTACAATTTAGAAAGCCCACAAATGGCTTCAGGATTGATGATGGTTCGCCATCAATACGTAAGGTAGACATTCATTTAAAATATAGAGCAAGTAAAACTAAATATCGGTTCACTATCAAGATACTGATAATGGTACATCCAGAAATCTCTATTCTATCACTGGAAGAAAAAAAATTACAGGCCTTTGAAAGCATCGTTTAGCCTTGGGAATCACAAAATGCAAATCAGAAATTCCTCCTAGGTAAATTTTTCCCATTATTGTAATATATTGAGCACTTTTGATCCTCAACTTTTCTCTTCATGTTGTGGGGAAAAAAATAGTGATGTGTCTTACTGGATTGTTGGAAGCCACATTGAGCAATGTTCTTATAATTTCACTTTTTCCAACAATAGTAAAAATAGTCTGACTATTGGGATGCTTGAAGACAGAGATGCTATGCCTCAAAATAGCATATGAGGATTCCAGAGGCGTTTTTCTCTAAAACAGTGGTTCTCAACCTTTTTAATGCCGCGACCCCCAACCGGTCGTAAGTCGAGGACTACTCAGCTGGTGCAGCACCGTTTGCAGAATGGGACTTTTGGCGGGCTCAGCAGGGCAGAGATAGCCTGGACAATTCCTATTGGCTTTTGAAAGCCAATAGAATTAGACTCTATTCAAGAGAGTCTATTCTATTGGCTTTCAAAAGCCAATAGAATAAAAGGGAGTAGCACAGCTAAGGAAAAGGGGGAAAAAATGGTGGACTGCGTTATTTGGCGACCCCCGTGAAATGGTCGTTCGACCCCAAATGGGATCCTGACCCACAGGTTGAGAACCACTGCTCTAAAAGAACAATAGAGGGGGAGAAACATATAGGGGAACTTAGACAATTGTAAGAAAGAAGAACTGGATTTATTAAGGAAGGGAAAGGAGGGAAAAAATTCATAAAACAGAGTTGACTTCATGGACACATACATGTAATTATCTTGGCAAGATATGGAAGTGGCTTGTTGCTGTCTTCTTCTGGGATGTACTTTCAACTTCTTGGTATTTCTGAATGGTCCCCTATTGAAAAATTAATCACATCTGACCATTTTTTAGCTTTCCAAGATTGGTTAGATGCTTCCATTCTAGCTGATGAAGAAACAAACAGTACAATAAACACATTGACAGCAAACACATTGTTTTTTTAATATATTTTATTAGATTTTATATGGGTAGGGAAAAGGTGGGGTCGGTGCGGGTACAGGAAAATCAGGATAAAGGGGACAGGGTGTGGATAACTATAGTAAATACGTAATTCAGCGAACAAGCTGTCATCCGGGTCTTCATATTGAGTATTATTGTTTATATAATACTAGACATTTATAAGAATAAATCGGTATAGTTACAACTGACATTTGGTAAAACAGTAATATTCCTTTAAATAATTA